AATAAACCAACAATTCATATTAACTTGTTTTTTTTTTTTTAATTAGCTATTATATAAATATTATAGTCCTACATTCAATATGAAACAAACCTACATACATTTTTTTTTACGTTTAGGGAATATATACTGCCCTAGATTTAAATGAGGTAAGTACTGTCTAAATACATACACTTATTTATTATGTTCATCACGCTTTTATTTTATATAGAACATAAAGTTGTAAATGTGATTAGTTAGTATGGTTTTACGAAAAAAATTTGTATTTTATATTGTAGTGATTGCGTATTTACCTAGTGTTTATTACTGGTCATTGTTGAGTATAAAAGTTACTATAAAAAGTTGACAATCGATAGTTACGCTAGTAATTAACTTACTATATACTATATAGTAATATAAGAATTTATTTACCTATTTTATTTGGAAACAACTATTGACCTAATCACATTGAATGAATAATAAATAATAATTGAACATGATAACTTCTTACAGAAATAGATCAGTAACTATATATATATTATATGTATTTAGGTAATTATTTTTATTGGTTTAAAAAAAACACAAGTGGTATTTAGAGGGTGCTTGGTTGTGTTTACCTCCCCCAAATTTTTATAATATAAAAAATTGTAATTGGTTATATTATGTCATAGGCATTCAGTTGAACTTATTTCTAAGATTTTGTTCGTTTTTTAATAAAAATAAATTCTTGGTTATATTAAGAAATTATGAATTATTAACATCCAATAGAATACTTTATAGTATGATAAGAGGAAAACGATTATTTATTATTATAGATAATTATAATATTTTGTCAATGAAAAATAAATCATTCCGCGGATCACTTTGATCGACATAAATCTTACTCTCTCATATATTTAACCTAAATTTTGCCTATGTTAAGGAATAATAAAAGTTTGTTGAATATCGTAAGATCGACTATAATCAAATTTCTGTTTCGTGATATGCCGAGTAAAATGTGTGGGTATATAAAATAAATTACTTAATCTAAAGAAATACGAAACGGAAATGTTAAAGGAGAATCAAAACACTAAGCAATATCAGTTAAAAGTGTTTTCAAAAGTACCTATAAATCAAGTAGTAACTTTCTTTATTTCAGAGTTGAATCAGAACGTACAATGAAAGTGAGTTGTGGTGCATCGAGTATCTACAAATATTACGTATATTTCAAATAAAGTAAAGTACATCGGAATTGAGTAAAGTATAGTCAGTTTTAGTTTACTTTTTATGGGACCAAATAATTGAACGACGTCAACCGAGACGATGCGAACTAAAGTGGATTGGGCACTGATATTTGTTGTCTTTCATGTGTGCAACATAGTATAAACTACCCACTTTTGTGTCCATCGTAAGAGTTCAATCGTTGATCAACGCAGTAAAATGACAAAACAGTTTTGAATTTTTCGAGAAGTATACATGATGCTCAAAAAAGTAGCCAGATCATTTGATCAAGCCACTTTTTTGAATCTCACTTCTTGATTTCTAAAAATTTGAATTGAAAGTTTGAACATTTTTGAAGATATAATTATTACTCGCAATTAAAAAATAACTAATATAAAATTGTAAAAGTCAGTTTGATCAATTATTATGTACATACTTTTATTGTTTTCATAATATTTATTATTTTGATATCGTATTTACGTACTAATTATCACAAAATGGGTAGTTTTTACGTCGCACACGTGAAAGACGGAGTCACAGAGATAATTATTACTATAATAATATACCCTCCAAAACAGTTTCGACTTATTGTTTGAATCGGAAAAAGCCTTGAAACGTAGTCACCACTAATAAAATAAATAATGTTTAATCCATTTTATGTATTCTACAATAATATTATTATTGTAACTGCATAGTTAGAAATCAGTATCTATTAATAAAGAGAAAGCCACTCATTACCTATAGTATATGTGTATGTATTTGTATTGTTTTTTTTTTTTTTTTTTTGCTGATCTTTAATTAATTAATTGTTGTCTAAAATAAATCGTATAATTATTATGTTATTCAATTAATTAATGTGCTTATATACATTGTATTTAACATTTTAACTAAATTTGATGTCAGTTCAACACATACTTATATGTATATTCTCTGTCATAATAGATATTTGTAAATTGTATTCCAATATTACTGAAAGTATTAAAATTGTTTAAACTATGAAACCCTTAGAATTAATAATTAATAATTTACAATCTAACACAAAATGATATTTATTAATAGCATAATTATTGTCCTCCTCTGCCTTATGTTATTATTATGAGTACGGGTTATTGATTACTATATACTTAAATTTATCAAATTCATATTGATATTTTAGCACGAAAACGAAATTTTTCACTTGTTATCGTAGGTTATAGATACATTGCATGGTGTCGTCTTGTGTTAATTACTTATATATAAAAGATAGAAATGTAAAATCACGAGTAATTAATTATACAATTAGTAAAAAAACAAAAAACAAATAAAAGCATGTTTGGATAATATTTAAATTTGATAATAAGCTTATTAATATATTTTGTTAGTGTTGTTTGCTGTTTGTTGAGCTTAGAATAATTCAAGAGTAAATATTCCGAGGTTGTTGAGCGTTATACCTAATGTTTACTATCTTTTACCGAGAATGATTTAGATTTCTCCTTTGTGAGTAACAAATTCGTCGAATCGCTATCGATTGAAATTACTATTGTGGTTTGTCACGAAATCGTTTGTCAAGATGAAACTTTATCCCGTTCGAGATATTCCTGCTACAAGTTTTCCACAAATATATTTAATTTTACACAAACGCCTACATCAATACTCGATGCTGATTATATCAATAAAAATGATAACATTGCAATGACACCAATAATGGTAAAAAATAGGATCGCACATGATTATTGTATTTTTAAGAGGTGCAGGAGTGGGGGGAAAGGCTTTAATTAACGTAGTTTAACGAAATAAAATCAATTACACTACAATACCATAATATGTGTATGCGGGTTTATACACGTCATAATGGTCATAACATGTACACATTATAACTTGTTGTCGTGAAAATTTTAGTTCGGCCACTTGTTTAGTCGATAGTTTTCATATTTTTAGTAAATATGCAAATTAATACTAACTCGTTGATATTTTTGTACTTAATATTATACATTTTTAATATTATTTCTACGTACTCTTTTGAAAATATAAATTTTGTTTATTAGTCATTAATTAAACTAATTGAATGAAACAAAATTAGAATTAAAATTTATGTCAAATCAAGTTATTTTAATAAATATACTTTAGTCATACTGGTTGGATAAAGTAAACACTTAACATTTAAAAAGTTTTGTACATATTACCCGGCTAAAGTTACTTAAGTCGTCGTGTTATGGTTAATGTAAAATATTATTAATAAATTCATAATTATTAATAAACTACATTTAATACAATACTAAAATTATTTTTATTAGATATTATTAATACTATTAATTAGACAACATTTTATTATTATTATTTATTTAAACGTGGTAAAATTTGATGACATTTTGAATTGCATAGAATGCCCGATGCTTTGCATTTGTATTTATTTGTTTTGCAATTTGATTTACATGCACAACGTTGATATTTATTGATAATATTTTACATTAGCCATAATACGACAACTAAAGTAACTTTAGCAGGGTAATGTGTACAAAACTATGATTTTAAATGTTAAGTGTTCACTTTATCTAACCAGTATGGCTAAAGTATACATTATCCGGATAATGTGTACTTTAGTCTTGTTTCGGATTTTAACCGTAACATATATATTTGTATCATGTAACTATAGAATTTAAAAATATTTAAAGATAAAATTGTAAAGTATTGATACTTGTCTATTTGTAACTTCATCTAGGTTCAGGGCTTGCATTTAAAAAAAAAATTTGTTATACGTTATTTACATTTAAAACGTTATACAGAACTTACACTTTTTAACATATTTTATAAATAATAACTATTTAATAATTGGAAATAAATTATTTCTTTTAATGACATACTAAATATAACGTTTTGCGTTATGTTTTGTTTGATGATAACATACATATTTTGTTAATCGTTATGTTTTGTTTTGTGTTATTTAATTATTTATGTTTATCGTTTTCCGTTATAATTACGTTTACAAATTTTAATCGTTTTTTGTCAAATATAACGTTATCATAACGTTTGCAAGCCCTACCTACGTATAATCAATATTTTTATTAGTATTATTATTTAGTTACTTTTAAATATTTCTATGCTTATTATGATATACTTATACTGTGTATTTAAAAATCGCATGATTAAGCTGCAACGCAGTTAAAACTACCTTGAATATAATAGTGGATACTTTGAGTAGTTATAAAATCAAATATAAAATATCAACGACTAGTATGTTCATTCAACAACGAATTAAATGATTTGCTCTAGGCTCTAGTTAGTTATTAAAAAGTGTAAAAATGATGTAATTTTCTGTATTTTTGAAAATGTGAATTATTTTCATTCATTAAAATTAAAAATTGTTTTTAATTTTGATTTTATCAATTAGTAACTCTATAAAATGTGTATTTAAAATCAATCAAAACACATTTTAAACTGTTTTTGGCATTGCATTTTTTTTTTTTTTATAATTCATTATAAAAGAGAGATCAAATAGACATCAGTCAATCATATATATATATTTTATTATTTAATAATAATAAAAAAAAAAAAAAAACAAAAAAAAAATGCACCACATTTTGTATCAGAGCTATTCGTTTTTCAATTAATTACCTGACGTAGTAATATAACGTTGACAAGGTTCTGTGCAAAAGAATGGATCATATCGCCCCACTAACCAACCAAAACCCTTTCCTCTACCACCACTATCGCCACCTCACCGCCATCAACATCACCACCACCACCACCACCACCACCACCGCCATCGCCACCTCCAACACCACAAAACCCTCATGTCACGCCCATCGACCACGGCGATCTACTCACCAGCACGGCGATCTACTCACCAGCACGGCGACTGCCTGAGCGAAGCTGACGGTGTGGCACAGGTCGCTGCCGAACGGCCAGTACTGCAACAGCAGCGTGGCGACGAACGAGAACGGGACGCAGAAGAGCGTCATGAGCAGGTCGCCGACGGCCATGTTCATGATGAACAGGTTGGTGACCGAGTGCATCTGCGCAGAGAACATCACCACGTAGCACACCAGACCGTTGCCGACCAGCGACACGACGAACACGACCGTGTACGTGAGGTAGACGAGCGTCTGGAACGCGGCCGAGCTGTCCGGGTGACAGTACAGCCCGTTCGCGAGGTCATCGGTGGTGTTCAACTGCGCGGCGGGCAGGGTGGCGGTCACGTTCCACGGCGTGGTCGACGACTCGTCGCCGTTATCGGACATGGCGCCGCCGACGCGGGACACCTGCAACAAAACGAAGACGCGCGTCGCGTTTAATAAGTCCGTCGTCGCAATATCGTGCCGTATTGATACGAACATACGACGCAAGTACTGTTTTCGTCGCGCCGACGTAATTCGACCTGTACCTACATTAGGTAGGGAAAATAAAACAGATGTATCGTAATATTCGCAATGGAGACGATTGTTAACCTCTCGATTTTAATGCGATCTGCCTACTCTTCCCCGTTCACTTTAGATAGTTTAGAACCACCCGATGGATATATTATATTATATATTATTATATAACAAATTCTCCCGAGTCTATAATAAATTTGTCTGTATACATCGTATTACAAACTGTATTATTTCAGTTATTAATATTGATAATCGAACGAATATACAAATAAAAAAAAAAAATTCAAGCATATAAATTGTACTGTTCCGTTGTACTGCGATTTTATAATTTTGTGATCAATTTTGAATGGATAGTACAACTGGTGCTTCTTATCGAAACATGTTATTGACTCGGGAGAGTTAACCACCAGCAATGGGAAAGGTATTGTAATTTACATGAAAAAAAAAAAATTACACACTATGGCGTTAAGGCAAGCAAAATTTGAAAATATAAACACACTATTGTCTATTGATGACATTTTCTCGCATGAAACCACTTGAAGTCGGGTAAATATAAAAGTCAATAACCTAACTAATTTATATAGTAATAGAAAACAATTGTTAACTAATTGTTTGTTATTCAAGTTTATATAATAAAGCGATGTATTTGAATCTTTACAGCTTATCCTTTTACAGACTCAAAAACTATAATACGAAATACCTGTTTTCCTCATAAAAAATTCGTAGGAAAGGAAGTATAAACGTTGATACCGAACTATATACATGTAAAATGAGAAATACAATATTTTATATTGCAAATTATATGTATTAATAAACGTATAACGAATATATAGGACTGCATCCTTTGTCTCTCCAGGAAAACTAATTTGAATTACTCACGTGGGTACTAGCGTTCATTATAAATACTAAATTATAATAGTAATTTTAATCCATGGTATTTTTGATATTCAATTTTAGAACGTAGCCATCTTCAGTTCTATTATGGTATTCAAATGTCTTCTAATATTTTTGTTTAAAAACTGATTTATTTGGTTAGGTGGCTATTAGGTGCAATAATTCGCTTGTTTGTGTCTAATTAATTTTGACCGTAACAATTTCCTATAATTTTTTTTTTTAATTATATAAATATTTGCTAATAGTGTACTTAAGGAAGAGGGTGAAGAGACTTCATGTCTTCCAAGTAGTTTACGAAAATTTAAAAAGATTTAAGTGTTCTTATGTTAAAGGGGATTGTAGTATGTGAGAAGTGGCGTATGCAGGATTATTTTATGAGGGGGGAGAGGGAGAGAAGTACGATATACAAAAAATAAGAAGATGGTAAGTTATTTAATATTTAATCGCCTTGATTGTTTTGCTTAATTATCAATTATAGCTTTTGGGCTAACTTCAATTTCACGATTAATATTTAACAATGCCAGTCAATTTAAGTGAAATCCTTTTATAGTATTTTAAAGGTATGTTTTAAGACAATGAAGTGTTGAAAAACTTTTTTCTGGAGTAGAAGTTGTGACAGGTAAAGTTACAAGAATCTGCTATAGATGAGATTTCATGAGGAAAATAATTATTTCATTAATAAAGTTATGCTTGAAAAGTATTAATTAACAATCCTCACTTGTGATGATGATACGTGTGATAAAGGAAAATGACGAAAATATTTCGAATGACACGCTAAACAAATATCTATATTATACCTACTTACTTGTTTTTAAAAACGAACAATTATATATTGTTTCCATTTTGGAAAATGAATAATTTTTTCATCTAAATTTTTACTTAGTTATGTCACTGCTTGGATACACTCTCGGACTAAATGACCAAAATTAATTGATAAGGGTTAGATTTTAACGGCGATATAGGCAGTTTTGTGACTGTTAACGTACGTGAGACTGCTATACCTAGTGGCTAATATCTACTTAGCTAAATGGATAATCTTTATTTTCATAGTTGTAGCGTGTCAAACCACCGAGTCGTAGAGTACAACTACACATACTTAGATCCACTCCAGGATTATAGAGGACTGAAATGATTTCGTGCGTGTGGAACTGCAACGGTGACATGGTTTTTATAATAAACTTTATAAGCAGTATCGTAACCGTTATCATAACGTCGGATTGCCGCAGGAGTGGCGCCAGTACACGATTATTAAAAAGAACACATTTATCATGTGACAAAAATACTTGTCTTCTTCTTCCGAGTCATTGCACACGTGTTAGCTAGCTCAGACTTTTTTTACTAGTATCTTGATTATTCCTTCAGTCCGTCATCTTCACTTGCAGATGCACAATATTGTCCACCAACACCGAACGAGATGTCATAACAGAATTTTCCATAGAATATTATTTTAGTCACTTTTTAGACTTCTAGAGCCGTTTACTTTTTCAGCTTGGCCTAGTTAAAATAACTATGAAAATGCGTTGTACCTATACCTATTATTTTATATCGATTGTACTATTTTTTTTCATTAAATCAATTCGATTTCTTTAATTTTAATAATTATAGGTAGGGATCGGAAGTTGATGACTTTAAAAACAATAAAAAATGACCATAAAAATGGCCAAAAATGTCCTAAAAAAATTACAAATATTAGTTTTATATTAATAAAAATACATTTTTTTAAAATATTTTATTCTATTTTACTATAAAATTCAAAATATGACATAAAAATGACAAAAATGTCTTTAAAATAGGAAAATTAAAAAATTAAAAATATTTGTTTTATAAGTGTCTGTGATTTAAGTTATCGGCATAATGGTTAACAAGAAACGATAAGAAATGAATTAGTGTGAAATCAGTAAAAATAACTAAAAATGTGGGAAAATGACCTAAAAATCTCAAAAAATGACTTAAAAAGTAATAAACACCAAAAAATTCAAAATAAAAATTAGTTATTTAGATTCACATGCTTATGAATCAGATTTTTGGCCAGGAGAGCATCGTCTCAAAAGTTCCAAAAAAAATGCAAAATGCATCAACATCTGAGCCCTAATAATAGGTAATATAATATATATATTTTTTTAGGCAGTAGACTTATGTGTATCTATATACAGTGAAAACTGTTTAATGCGGAATAGCACGGGACCAATCAAAAATTCCACTTAAAGCAGTTTTCCGTTTTATTAAATAAAACTGAAAAATTTCGGATTATATATATTCCTATCAAATTTTCACATTAAAAAGTTAGTTTACACCATTTATAATTTTTATTTTTTGAGTTTAATTATAAATTTAATTTATTACTTTACTTTATAAAACTCATTTTAGAATAATTATAGACTTATTTTCTTACAAAATTATTAACAACGTATACATATTACATAAGTATGAAGGTTGGGAATTAAATTTAAATATTTAGCTTTTCAAAAATCATGTAGAGTTTTTGTTTTGTCAGTGTTGCTGCTATTTTTCCAATATTAAATATATTTGAATGGACATCACTTTTTATGTATTAGCAAATTAGTGTAAAACTGTTGGTGCATAATTGTTTCACAGCTATATACATTATACATACGGAATAAGTTTGTATCGCAATTCGATAACCAAAAAATACAAATTACCTAACTAATATAATATGTAGTGCAGTTTTATTTTAATTATCCTTTACGATGTACTTACATATTCATATCAACGTAGCATGACACGTGTCATATTTCCGGCTTATGCAAGGTTTTTACTTGTATTACACCTACAAAACCGTTCCATTTTCGAGTTAGGAAGGTTTCGTTTTATTGAGATTTAATGTCTATATAAAACTTCAGGAACATGCTGGGACCATAGACAAATTCACAAATTAGATAGTTTTCTGTTTTATTCAGGATCCGCATTATACAGTTTTCACTGTAGTTACCACTGTAATATCTAATGGGGATAATAATAAATCAATTTAGAATGAAAAAATCCCTGATGACTTGACGAAAATGCCATATGTCCGATTACAATACGTTTCGATTACATATAAAAATGTTGAAAATATTTAGACAAGCGTACACTAATGTACCGAATCCGAATATCACTGTCTAGTTTAGATCTATTGTATATATATAAATATAATCAATAACATTATAGGTGCTTTTATACCATTCGATTACAATTGTCAATGAAAAAATATTGATTGTTAGTATATTTCTAAATAAAAACAGGTTTAAGTTTGTAGTATAGCGGAGAATAACGAAGATATAAAATAAATTATACTTCTTAAGTTTTGAATAATATAATAGAAATACTTTAATTTTTATTGTGATACTGTTTTATAATAGTTCTTAATACGCCACTTAAGCACTTGTATTTTTTAATGCATATTAATGATAATTGAGTACATAACATAAAAATATTTTGAGTTTATGAAAAAGTTTCGAAAATAAACTTCTTATGCAAATGGATTAAAAAAAAAAAACATAATAGTTCTATATACTTTTAAATTTAACATTTATAATGGCTTTAAAACATCGATACAGTTTCTCAGAGATAGATAAATATATAATGTCTAAAATTACTTTTTGTTTTATAATATAACACCGTTATCGTAAAAATTTTGTTAGATGTGAAGTATATTGTAAATCAAATAGATTTTAACTAAGAATTTCACTAACGTATAATATTTATATATGAATAATTTAATGATAAAATTCTAAAACCAATACTTTATACATACATTTGGCCAGTAATTTCTGTTAAATTAAAAATAAAAATACATACAATATTAGTATGTGGATTGTATATTAGTAAATAATTATTATGCAAATAATAATATGTAGATATTCTATATTTGAAAATATTGTAAATTTATTTGAATGGCTTTCATAAGTATATACTACATACGTTATCCTACTCAATTACAAAAAAAGCTTTATTCGTCATTAAATCTAATAGGTTTGTTTATAAATTGTTTATGA